TGGGCTTTCGATAAATTGACTTTTGAAGACTACCGTCTTCTAGGCGTTCCATGGCGATGTCGAGGAAGTGAAACTTTCCGTCACTTTCATGTTCCATAGTGAAATCAATATTGGCGTGTGCACCATTGAATAATCTTAGTAAGTGTGAAGCATGGCTTTCATTTTCGCACACTATAAATGTGTCATCAACATAACGACAGTAGGAAGATGTTTCGTCGATTGCATGTTTCAACTTTGTTCTTTCGAGGTTTGACATGAATATATCTGCTAGAACAGGGCTGAGTGGACTGCCCATAGCTACACCATCTATTTGGCGGTAAAATGTGTTGTCAAATTGGAATTGCACATCCATGGTACACATAAGCAGTAGGCGTTTGAATTCCGATTCTGGGAGTGGGAGAAGATCGGACTGCTGACAAATGATCTCAATAGTTTCATTGATTGGAATCATTGTGAATAGGGAGGTTACATCAAATGACACCATGAATTTATTTAGAACGTTCATGTGGTTCACACTTTCAGAGAAATGAAATGAGTCTTTCACCGTGTGCACGCCTAGCCGTTGACGAATAGGTTCCAACTTCTCCGCAAGCCAACGTGCCACCTTATGTTGGGGCGAGTTGATCATCGAAAGTATGGGTCTCAGGGGGACTTGTTCTTTGTGTATCTTCGGAACGCCATACATGTGTGGCAAGCGGGACCCTCGGGGTTTCAAGTCATTGTACGTGTTGTTGTCAATCAATTTCTTCTTTAGGAGATCTCTCAAGGCGTTTGTGATACGTTTTTCGACGGCATCTGTCTTATCTTTCTGGCAACTGTCAACTTTAAACCTCAACGGGTCATTTAACACAGCTTTCATCTTTGCGATGTAGTCCTCTTTGTCCATCAGCACCACACCTGAGCCTTTGTCAGGTCTCAATATAACAATTTTGTCATTATTCTTGAGAGCTTTCAATGCTCTTAGATGCTCTTCAGAAAGGACTTTGGAATATGACGTTGGAGAAATGAGGTATTGATTTGCAACGTCGACGAGCTTCGATTTGAACCAGCTCCTCTTGTCATCATCAACTGGAGTGAGGTCACTCAACTGATAGAATAAGTTTTCGAATTGAACTGCGACATCAGTTCTTTCGACAAACTTATTTGGGATGTGAAAGTTAAATCCAAGAGAAAGTGCTTCCATTTCTATGCGATTTAACTTCAGACTCGACAGATTACAGATAAACTCCTCAGGATTTTCTGGGAAAACTTCACACAATTTCTCCTTTGTCAGGGATTTTGAGAGAGTTTTGTAAAATTCTTCACATGTTTTCTGTTGAAGTCCTTGGATGAAATTGATGAATTTGATGCGACATACTATACTCAAACTATTGACGACACCATCGAAAGATCGGGCTTCAGTTCTCAATTTAGAAATCAGAGATTCTGTTGATTCAATATGTGATTTTGTAATGCGTCGAAGATTCTTGAGAGATGGGGGTAATTTGCAAGAACGCAATGACTTCATGAGATGACGAGGAAAGCAGTGAGACCGCAAGCAATCATGATAAAACTTCAATCGAGTCACCTCTCTTGATATTCTGCAACGAATTGTCACCAAACGATCCAGTGACTTAAAAGATTCTTGGGGAGGCGTTTTTTCAGAAATTTCATACATTTATTCCCCTTAATGAATTTGAACAAAGCAAGAACTACAGTTTTAGCAGAATAATACGGTACCATCATTTATTTCGTTGGCTTCTCATCAGCTGCTTACAGCCTAAATAAATTATGACGTTTAAGTACATACATACTTTAACATAATGTCTGTACTTAAACGTCATAATTTATTTAGGCTGTAAGCAGCTGATGAGAAGCCAACGAAATAAATGATGGTACCGTATTATTCTGCTAAAACTGTAGTTCTTGCTTTGTTCAAATTGATTACACATCACTTTCTTCAATAGAAAACAATAATATAACCCTTTATGGATGAGTAAAATCACATTTTTTTTAAATGTAGGGATTACAAATTGTTTGTAATTCATATTTGTGATTTCATCAATGTATAGTGGAAGGCTCGTCATGCACACCTTATGTGGTCTGCGATTCGAACACACTTCTAAAACCTCACCTACTTTATTAGCCGAAAGTTATCTTGGGAAAAATGGGAAAGTTTGCGCACGACACACACCACACTCTGTAAAGCAGAAACAACATCATGACTACTGAAACTCCAATGCTTCTAGCTTGAAGCCTGATATTCTTGGGTTGTCAAATGACCCAGGACCTTCTGGGTACAAGGCGAGCTCGTAGACCATTGAGCCACTGGGACCGGATCCAATAGTTCTTGAATTCTAACTTCTGCCAGTTCACAACATAGCGCGACCACTTCGTCCCAAACTAGGACGAAACAGCTGTCCAGTGCTCCCAGATTTTCCAGTGGTTCTCTAACTGATGTCAGCTCATGGTGAAATCATCCATACAGTCAAACAAAATCCCTACAAACCAATACTTGAAAAAGTGAATATTTCTTAGCTCAGTCCTTTTACCTTGTAAATGTCTAAATGGGGAGTTTTTTCTATAATCGTTTTCCACCTGAACTGTACAGTATAGCTGCCTCACAGTTTAGCTGAAGTAGCACTTTGGGCTTTTGATGTCATTTATTTTTTACTAGAACGGCGAATTCATTCAGAGATGGTTGTTGTTCTCCTATCTTGTGACTGAGCCTCTCTTAAGGAAGTTATTTCGAGTGTAATGTAAGGTGCAGAGATAGATTTTCTGCGCTCACATCACAATGACATATTTAATGAATCTTTTTCTAGAAATGTCGTGCCAGCTGTTTGGAGGGACATCAAAATTTTATCCATACCTAAGTCGTCTTTTGGGACATGTTTTAAATTTAAACCTATTGCTATTACCTCCCTTTTTCTAAAAGCTATGGAGAAGTTACTCTTACTTAAACTTCAACCTTCACTTAAAACCTTTAACGACCCCAAACAATTCGCCTGTAAAATCAGTAGAAGTACTTTAGATGCAGTTGCAGTATTGTATCATAACACTGTCTCCAGCTTACACAAAGGGGCTAAATTTGTTCGCTGCGCCTTCCTAGATTACACACATCTGCTTTCGACTCAGTATCTAGGGACATTTTGTTAAACAAGCTTGCTGAAACTCAAACTGACTGTTGGGTTGTCAGATGGCTGCATTCTTACTTTTTAAGGAGGAAAGCAGTACACTGTATGTTAGGGAAAGTCGTCCACTTCATTGCTTACTGAGGCTGGTGTCCCTCAAGGCACTGTCCTTTCTCCTTTTCTGTTTTCTTTCTTCTTGCATGACTTGCCTCACTCTGATGATGAAATGAAGTGTGTTAAGTATGCCATTCATCTGACTATTTCAGCGTCTGTTAACTCCCAGCTAGACTGTGCTAAGATGAACAGCTTTCTATCAGGAATTAGAAAATGGTCTTCTTCTAATGGTCTTAAACTAAATCCTTCCAAATTTCAGACTGTTAATTTCAGTTTCCGATGTAAAAGAAAGTTAAATGAAGCTGTTGATTCCTATGACCGTTGCAAAATTGATGATACTGATATTGAAATCAAGTCTGAAGTTAAGTATCTTAGATTATTTCTTTCTTCTGACCTATCCTGGTCTTCCCATGTCTTAGCGATTTCTAAAAGAATATTTCGTCTGACTCTTTAAATTTAGAAGTTAAGGCACTCACGCATAACCCAACCCCTCCTCCTCTTACAGTTTGTCAACTCGTGTACTTTACCTATTCTTCGTTACTGTTAACCCTTATTCTTTCCTGCATTGTTTGAAAAAGACTATGTCATACGTCTCAGTATAAAAATTCCACCATATCATATTTGGCACGTACTTTATGTGATGAAAATAATGTTAGGCACGAACTAACTAACTAACTAACCTTCTTTGCACTAATAAATAAACCATTTCTTCCACTCTTACAACATCAACCTTTATTGTTATTGTTCCTCTTATATTTATAATCCTCTCAAGTTTTTGTTTTTTTATTTGTTTATTTTTTCATAAGTGTGAACATCATTCAAGCTGTGTTATGACTGTTAATTTTGTATTTCCCCTCACCATGCTGCTATATCAACAGAACATTAGATTCAATAATCTATAATAACATGCTAAAATTTCCAAACTGAATCGATAATACTGTTTGAAACAAACTCACTGTTATTATTATTATATTTAATGATCACAATTCGTGCTTGAAATATTTTTGACTTTATATTGTAAAAGTGGACAAATTCTTCTGGTTAATTTTGTTTTAATTTTTAATTTTATTTATATTTTGAGTAAATCAGATGCAAGGTGTTGTGACAAATGCTGAGAATTCCATTCTGTATTATACAGTACTGTTTTTGGAATAAAGTAGATTATTATTTTTATTATTATGATCTATTCGGATCACAAAAGGAATGAGAGGAAAACATGTCATCCCCTGTCTGGAATTCAAACCTGTATGCCACCGAATGTTGCCTGTGGTCAGAAACGTTACTGCTGAGGAGGTCAATCACGCTAACGCGTTTCTGGCTGCAGACAGTACTTGGTGCCATACGAGTTTGAATCTCACACAGGGGATATGAGTTCCTTCAAGGTAATTACAGACACGCGCCTTACTGAATGACTAGTGAGTGCCAACTAACAAGCACGAAACCTAGGTGTAGGCAAGGCTTTCTCCTCGCCAACTGATTGCCTCCAACCCTATCATCTAATAACAACAACAATTTCCAGACCACTATGATGTTGAGCAGTCGCTTAGTGGCATCGTGGCCCGTACACACTGCAAACTTAACCGATGATAGAATTCAGTCCGCCCGAACAACATGCCAAGGAGTAGACACACACACATATGGACACTAGTTACTTATTACCACCTATTGTCCAATCAAAAAAATCAAAACCACTAGGGGCATAAAAAAAACATCCCTTTTATTCTTCTTAACAAAATGTACATCAAAAGAAAAGATATAACAATAATAACTTACGCATTCATTTTGGCATAATCCAATTGTAGTTTTGTAAATAAACTTGATTTTAATAATTCATTAATTCGATTAAAATGTTTTGTAGCCTTTGTCATACCTTGAACCACGCTAATGATAAGAGAAAATAAGGGAAACAAGCAGAAAAATGCCACTGATTGAATTTTTAGTGGATTTTATACCTATTATTATGCAGCAGAGGTAGGTTGGCTCTTCACAACCACCCCTATTGTATGTTCAAGAAATAAGGATAAACTACCTAAATTCCCCTCTTCTATGTGTATCTACCAGTTTGACTGCACCAGCGAAGCCAGCTACATTGAGCGTACAATTAGACAGGTTCATCATCATATTTCCGAATATCATCCAGCATGGTTAAGCAAGGGATAAACAAGATCTATTCGTAGCTCTATTTTAGCACACCTTGTAGATAGTGAAGATAAGGTAGACGGTTAATACAGCATTTAAAATTAATTTATGGCACCCCCACTAATCTTAATTTTGCTCTAAGAGGTCGTCTTCTACATACAACACCTGAAGCGATAGGATTCCACCTGAAGAAGCCAAACCTGTGCCTGTTCAGAAGACATTTGTATAGCCACTTTCCTTACCGTCGCCATCGTTACATGAATGCGTAAACCGGACTACTTTGCCCTCCTCCCCTTAAAACTTTGAAATTATAAAAATTGTAATTGTCCAAACTATTTATTTTTTATTTAATTTGACCATTTCATCTTTAATTACGTATTATCCTTGTAAAATTAATTTATTTGAACCATTTCTACCTTTTAAATGTGTGTATTAATTTTCTTCGTTAATTATCAACCCATTGACATTTTGAAACTGACTAATTATTGTTAACAAACTTATCGCCACTTGACTGGTAAACTGTTGTGTATTGTAATAAAAAGTGCTACATTGTGTATATTAGAGTAGAGCCAGAGTGAGATGAGGATCTAATTGAAAAGTAAATATTTCTTCGCTCGCTCAATCTTTCTGTCTTCTAAATTTTATACTACACGTTGATTCACTATTAGTTACAGGATTTCACCATAAGCTGATATTGGTTAGACAACTATTGGAAAACCTGCCAGGCAGAAGGGGATAGCTGTTTCCCCAATCCTAGTTTGGGACTCTTCAGCAGTACGCACCCGCCACAGGGATTCGAACCTTCTGGTTGCAGGGCGAGCTTGATGACCAATAAGCCACTGGGACCCGATCCAATGGCCAGCCCATGAATTCCAACTTCTGCTAATTCACGACATAGCGCGACCGCTAGTCAATGTCTTCGGCAAGTAGTTGTCCTCACATCCGAACCGCTGCATCCTACTGGTTACGAATTCCCACTAGAACCCACCCAGGTAACTACCTACCTGAATAGGGCCAGTCGCCAGTGAGCATATCATTGATATTCAAGCATTGGTTTGTAGGGATTTGATTGGTTTTAGGATTTCATCAAGAGCTGACACATTGGTTAGACAACCATTGGAAGTGAAATGTTCGTTCTCAGTGTTGCCATGTCGACTCCCAGTATGAATGCTTAGATAACATCTAAGTATTGATATTATAAAGTTATTTTGGTTGGTAGAGATTATAACAGTATTCACGATGCGCATTTCGTCCTTTCTGGGACTAGTCAGCCGGATGTAGCCATAATCTGTTGTGAGTGTCAAAATTGCCCACCCACCCCCCACCACACACACGCTGAGACTTAAATCTAGCATCCAGTGGAAGACCTGGAAAGGTTCGCTGTCTTCAATCACGTGTGTCTGACTGACTGACTGACTGACTGACTGACTGACTGACTGACTGACTGACTGACTGACTGAGACTGGTTTCAACAAAGAACTTTGCACCGAAGTGCAGCAGTCCAAGCTGTCACACACCACATTTAGCACACAAAGCAAAAGAAGAGAATGGAGAGAGACTTATCAAGAGAGCGATAATGAACGGTGTGAGTGAGGGTAAAAGAAGAGTAATATGGAACAATAATAGATTACTTTGATACACTTGGATACGACGAATCACCAGCCACTGAGAACTACTTTGAGCCATATTAACAACTACCTCCAGATATTGGTTTTTACCATCCCGCCGACTGCGACCGGACTGGCAGTTTACACCTCCCTACGCGGCTTAAACTTGGGGACTTCATTGACTGATGAAGCTATGTTTCGGTTTGACCACCACTACCTCTTTTCCAACGGAATCCATCCTATGTTAGCTCTGCCTCTGTCTGTCTGGATTCAACATAGAACTTGGCACCGAAGTGCACCAGTTCGAGTTGCCACGTTCCAAATAGCACACAGAGGTAGACAAGAAGATGAGTGAAGAGAATCAATAGAGTTTGACAAGTGTAAGAGTGAAACAGAATGGGTAATGGTAGAAAGGAATATGAAAGATTACAGAGACTGAATACATCTGCGCTGGCCATTGACAACGATTTTGAGTCATGTCACCTATTGTCTCCAGCCATTGATTCCTAGAGTCCCGAGGCCCCCAACCCGGGAGTCTGCATCTCCCTACCTGACTGTTTAACTGTCAAGGATTTCATGGATTGATGAGGCCATGTTTTTGTTTGGCCACCACTGGCTCTTTTCCAACCTGAACCTATATCAGCTAGTGATGCCCGTCGGGGAGGCGGTGGTTAGGCATGCGCAGCACGTGACCTAGCCATCTTAGTCTATGTAACTTTATAGCCTCGTCGATTGATTTTCCCTCTTTACCCAACACTCTACGCCTAACGTCAACATTACTTACCTTATTAAAGGTATGTTAGCTAACATAGCCCATGGCAAAAGGCGATGGCTAGGCATGCATAACACATGTCCTAACCATCTCAATCACTGTAACTCCACAAAGTCGTCGACTGATCTCCCTTCCTCGACATTCAAAAGTGTCTGCCTTCCTTATCCCCATGTTAAGTCGTAGAAGAGAGAGTATTAAGTAAAGAGGGAACGTTGATCGATGAGGTTGTGAAGTCATATGGATTGAGATAGTTAAGACAGGTGGTTATACATTCCTAGCTAACACCTTCCTCGATGAGGAATGTTAGCTGCCACAGGATGAGTCTGGCAAAAAGCTAGTGATGGTAAAACGAAAAGATGGAATCAATCCATGAAACCCTAGACAATTAGTTTGAGCTAACCACTTAGGACGGTGAAGACTGAAGACAATTGGTGATATGGTTCAAAATCGTGCTCAATGGCGTAGGCGAATCCACACTTCTGCTTATCATCGCCCTTTCGAATATCTTTTAACCTCTTTTGTCTTCTTTCGTCGTGTGGTGTATGGAGTAAGGGCAACTCGAAGTACTGCACTTCTGTGCAAAATTCTATGTTAAAGCTCAGTCACTCAAAAGTCTTTATGTCCTCATCTAAGAGGACTATATTATTTCGGCATTCTAGATCAAGGAGACTTTTAACCGATAGAAAATCTATCGTTGTAATCACCAAAACATGATTTACCCTACAATATGATGTGACCTGAACTTTATTAATGCGTTTTTTTATTCTTTTACGTTCCCAGTGGAACATTGGGCTTCAGGCTAGAGCTATGAAGTTTCGGTAGCAGTGGTATTAATTTTTTGCGTGATGCGGTTGCTAGCCTCATGCCCAACCCCCTCCTCCCCCCAACTCTTTACAAATCTTATTACCGGCTTGGTAAGGTAGAGGAATACGTCTGTGGCCGTGGATAGAACCCCAAACTTCCTGCGTGGTTGGCAAGTACTCTACCATTGTGCCACCAACGCACTTATGAACGTGTACTATCCTAAAATAAAAAGCTTTAAAATATAGTCGGAACAAACTAAAACTCTATCTCAAATCCCCGACCGATAGCTTCTACCTTGGCGTGGTGGTCGGCCTTGCACATCTCAATGACCCATCAAGCTACACTGGCTGGAACCAATGTTCCTGCAGGTTCTACCATGCCTGGAGGGTTGTAGGATAGCGATTAGGCTAAATGCAATTACCATGTCTGTGGGCGAAGTCGTCTGTCTGTCTGTTTTCGACATAGAACTTTGCACAAATGTGCGGAAGTTCAAGTCGCCACATTCCGTGTAGCACGCGAAGCAAGAGAAGAAAGTACAAGAAAAGCATAATAGAAACAGTGAGCAGAGGTGTGAGACAAAGGAGTAATAAGGAAATACAAAACAGTTTCATTGAAGAAACTGTCGAAGTCGTACTACTGGGGAACAGGGATGTAACAGCAATGAGGTATTCCCCTCAGATGACCAGCATGCCAGGCAGCCAGCTATGTTGTCTCTCCACTCTGGGGAGAGGGGGTTAGAAATGGTCGACCCTAAAAATTGTATATCCCGACTTACCCCACCTACGGTGGTCCGTAACCAGCGGTAAGTTTGCTAATACGGAACCAAACTAAGAAACCAGTTTATACAGGCTGTGTGTGACCGGCTGGCCTACAGCAGTTGTCTCCTAGACTCTGCGGTCACGTAACACTAACACTCTCTCTGTTTCAGGTACCCCAAGAATTTATCAACTTCCACGGTGTAGGCAGCCGGGTAGCAACAACCGCCTACACACTTCCAAAAGCACAGACTATCTCAAATCATTCCAAATGTTATGCCCAAACAACAAATACATGATTACACAATACTTACTCAAGAGCATAGTCAAGATCATAACAACATCCACGGATTTGTGAGTTCAGATGTTCAACTTTTGACTAGAAAAAGAAAAGACACATCCACATATATGTATATGCTCATCAAATGAAAAAAACCACAACAGACCTGAAGTTATAACTTACCTGATGTCTTAAAATCTCTGGTGTTGACTTTCTTATATGCTCTTGAATATGAAAATATGCTAATGATGGTTGATTGGCAAGTGATATCAGCATGCTTGATGTGGATTCAGTGACTAAATTGAACAAGGAGGGGCGGGGAGCGCGGTTAATCTCTTTTTTTAAATCAATGACTAACCTTTTTGACACGATACTACTGTACTCATCGTGCTTCTTTCATTAGATGATTGATCTTATAAAGAGATGAGAAGGAAAGTGATGATAGAATAAAATTTTAAAATACCTTTTTTACCAAATAGGAAATTTACACCTTTCTCCATGAGTGGTAGTAATAGTAGTTGCTGTTATATAATTGTCTAGTGACACATCAGTAACAAAGCATCATATATGGCAGCCACGTTATATTTTTATTTTAGCATATAGTACATACATCTGAAAAGAAATTATGAGAAAATAAACGTCTATGTGTTGTTAAGCATATCCAATTACATTAACTATATTCAATTATTTAAGAGTACAGTTTATATTACAGGACTGGACTGGACTACACTAACTCCTAGTTTAGAAATAGGGAGGTGAAGTGGTTCGCGGAGTGTGTTGACCGCTTCACTTATTTGGGAAGTACCATCAACCAGTGCCAACGGTTTGATCTCTGACGAAATCTCAGCACGGATACAGAGGGCTAGTTTCGCATATGCCAGTTTACGCCGTCCCTGGCCTAGTAGACGTGATATCAGGCTGGCTATCGACCAAAGGGCAGGTGTACTGCTCAGCAGTCCGCTCCGTCCTTTATGGCTAGCTGTGAGACCTGACCATTGAGAGTGGAAGACATAAAAAGACTGGCTAGCTGTCTTTGATCATAGGTGCCTGTGCTCTACTCCCCATGTTCGGCTGTAGTATAATAAGGTGAGCAATACTGAGGATAGGCATCGGTCGAGTGCTAGGTAGGTGGGAGGGGAAATCAATCGACGAGGGTGTGAAGCTACATCGACTGTGATGGCTAGGACATGTGTTACGCATACCTAGTCATCGCCTTCCTCAACTGACGGGCAATGTTAGCTGACATAGGATCAGGCTGGAAAAAAGCTAGCGGCGGTCAAACCAAAACATGTCACCAGTCAATGAAATCCACAACAGTTAGTTTAAGCTGGCCACGTAGAAAGGTGTAGACTTCCTGACTGGTTGGGGTCCTATGGACAGTAAAAACCAATGGTTGGAAACAATTGGTCATATGGCTCAAAATCGTTCTCAATGGCTAGCACAGATGCATCCACTCCTTGTAAATTATGATTTCCAATGAAACTATATTGTTCTTCGTTATTACTACTGCTTTTGCCTCACACCCCTTCTTACTGTCTGTATTATGCATTTCTTCTACTTTGTTCTCTTGCTTTATGTACTACGCGGAGTGTGGCGACTTGAACTGTCGCACACCGGTGCAAAGTTCTATGTCGAAAACAGGCAGATACCATCGGCAAATATTTATTCTATCTCCTGAGTGAATGGAAGCCAGTGGCCACCATCCCTTACTAGAAATCCAGGCAACTTTTTTCTGTAACCAGCTACTAACAAGCAGCACTGAGTACTGAATTTCACCAGACTACTTAGGACTAAAACCCTTGCATATCTTTTTCAATAATTGGCTTTCTCAAGTTTTCTCCCAAACATAATTTCTTCAAAAACCCACTCATCTTGTCTAGGAGTTTATACCTGACTTTAAAATTATCTGTCAAGCGATTCGAATGAACTCGAAGAATAAAAAAGGATGGGAAGAAACGAACTACACTTTATGTGACAAACAAGAATATGCCATTCTGCAAGGAGGCTTAAACTTAAATACAGTTCACAACATAATAACATGCTTCATATTGATAAACCATAATCTACAATTTTTTCTTCACAGCTCAAAAGAGAAAGAGTAAGGAAAACGATGAAATCAAATGGGCAAACAATTAGGAAATCAACCTTGTTTTTATACCCTGCATATTCCCACATATCCCGTTTATTTACCCACTACCTAACATCTAACTTTCAATCTGATTGCTAGCAAATGATACCAAGTTAGAAGAATACCTCGGTAGCTTCTTCCTCGTAAAAGTAGCTAATAATCAAGATGTGAGATATTTTTATCTTCGAAATCCTACTAACCCTAAACTTCAGAAGGAAAATTCTAACAAGCCTACAGCAGTATTCCGTTAAGATAAATCAGCTACATCTTCTTCTAATAAACGATTACTAAGCATTCTGGATAGCCAACTCTAGACTACAGTAGCCAAGTCGTCACATGACCTACCACAATCATTTAGAGGTAGTGTAACCCAAGTTAATTATGCCTTCTGTTCTATATGTGTTTGATTACTGTGGGAATAATGAACTAACTGGAGTTACTAAGCCATTTATATGGGAAGTAATCGCTATACGGAGAATGAACATTGATTAAGTGGGGGAAATGAGGGAGAAGTGGGCATTTTCATTCAATCGGAAAGTGGAAGAAATGTAAAAAAGGATACCAGCTTTTCTCGTTTTCGCTAATCGTTTGAATGGTTATTTAAGACTGGGTTATATCAGAATCAAAAGTATTAAAAGATTTCATGACACTATGGTCTATAGCCACCTAAAATTTCTGTGACTTCCATCACTCTTTGATTCGTAATAGTTGCTCAGGTTTGGTCCGACGGACTGGCTACTACTACAGTTTAACTTCGCTCAAAAACAATTAATTCTTTAGTGGCACAAACAAATTAATTGAATTTAATTTAGTTCAAAACAAAGCATCTGCAAAGTAACGCCACACACTGTATAGTTCGCCAAAAAAACTGAACAGCGAATGACATTTAACGTCAACCTAACAACTATGATATCATTTTCGAGGTCTTGTAGCTTTTATATAGGCTGGAGGTATCCAGATTACCGGATAAGCTAATCTCTAGACAACTAATGGGTGCAAAATCACTATTCCTTTTGAAATGCACTGAAACTAAGCGAATTCCGCTGTGTTAATGAGAGAATTTTGAATGAATTGTACTGGTATTAAACAGAGTTAGTTTAGGCTAGCAACAGATAAGCATTAGACTGACTTAATTAAGGAGATATGTGTTAGTTAGGAGTAGACTAGGTGTAGATTAACAATAAGTTACTGCAAGATTATGCTAAGTGGCCAAATTATATTTTTAGCAATATGATTCTTTCCAAAGCCATTGCCGATTTCACGCATCTTGTGTGTCTAAAGTTCAACTTATCTAAACTGAATTCTCTAGACCAGCTTCCTAGTCGTAAGTTAACAGTTCCTGATATTCGGTGAACTTCGACGCATCTTCTCCCTCTACTCCCCGGTCATAGCTTTATTTGAACGAAAATTGGTGATGCGGGAGACTGTTTGTATGTGGTTTTCAGATATACGGTGCATTAAGACCGTGGACGCACTAATCTTTTCATCCATCACTCATCCAGTACGGTCGAAAACGAACATGAAACCAATATTAATATATTTTCCCATTTGTTTGTGCATGAGGGACTCTGGTTTACAGATATCATCAATTTTTTACATAACATGCATGCGGTAGGCAAATTTATAATTATTCAATTACACAATATTTTTGCAAGACAAGGAAGTGGAATAATATAAGAAAGTTCACTTTATATAGGTATGAGCAAAAACCACGATACTGTAGCAGTAAATAATTCCCCAAAATTATTGACCACAGCAATCACTCATTGGATGATGACCACCACTGTTTAAGTCGATTTGTTTAGCTGGAGGCTTCCGGTCAAGCATCCCCACCATTCGGTACCCCGTCGTGTCACCTGCACTATCACTAGCTAGCTAAGCGTTCGTCTGAAGGCTTGTTTTGGTCCCGAAATATATCACGAAGTTTGGACGATCAAACATTGGCTTCTGCTTTGTTGTTGGTACGCGAGAATAATTTAGAGGCTTTGTAAGTGAATTCCGTCAACCCTATAAACTGGTGAGCCCAACCGCGAACTTCATCCACGATTAATCCGCAGATAACCCCGGTGAGTTCGTTCCATTTTGTATTTGTTCTTGTACCATATATTATTCGACATAATTTTCGTCATGAGTGATCTTAGTCCCAAGGTCATTCGTATCCGCTCAACTCCTAAAACCATTCAGCTCATACCATACTGGCCAGATAATGCTGAAACGTGGTTTCAGCTAGCTGAAGCAGATTTTTGTGAGCATGGAATAACCGATCAACGTTCACAGTTACTTGCAGTTATTCACGCCCTACCGCGGGAATTCAGCAAGTACGTAACATCACAGATGTTCAGTCCCGAGGTAAGTAACTCGTACGAGTTGCTCAAAGCATCCCTCCTCAGGAGAAACGTTCTCACGGACTGACAACGTCTAGATGAATTATTTCGTAACATCGAGTTAGGAGATCAGTCAGCCGTGAGCATGCTGACAAGAATGAGAGAAGTTATTGCCTAAAGTCAGTTCGACGAAGGACTATTTAGAGAACTCTTCTTATCCAAGCTGCCACAGTCTGTACAGACCGTACTTGTGACACTTCAGGGTGTTATAACAGATGACAGCTATTTCTGCAGATGGGATTCTAGAAATAACTAGACAGTCAGCTCCCGAAATATGCCCGATGACTAAGCAGACTTCGAGTAAGGATCCTGCAATGATAGAGTTATGCAACTCCATCCAGCAGATGTTTAGGTCGAACATGCGTTCTAACTCCTCCGACCGTCGTCCTAAATCTCCTCAACGCAGGAACTCACGTGGTCGATCTAAGTCCAAACCACGTCCACTGAAAAACCCTGACTGGTGCTGGTACCACCACACCTATGGCCAAGAAGCGAAGTGTTGCCGTAAGCCGTGTAACTTCGGAAATGTCTCAAAGTCTGTGGGAAACTATCCCGCCGGCACGCGTTAGCGGCAACCGTCGCCGGTGGGACTAGCCGCCTTCTTTACATCCATGATGTGATAAGCCAGACTCGATATTTAGTCGACACAGGCACCGAAGTCAGCGTCCTTCCTGCTACAGCAGCAGATCGACAGAAGGAACCTACCTTCAACTTACAGGCCGAAAATGGAAAACCAATCGCAACCTTTGGTAGGAAATACGTCTATCTGAACGTAGGTTTGCGCAAACCAATTCGATGGATTTTTCTTCTCGCTGACGTTACAATGCCCATCATTGGCACGGACCTACTTAATCATCATGATTTACTCGTAGACGTCCGCCGAAAACGACTGATTGACAATACTACCAGTCTGTCTATCAAAGGCATTTCCTACATAGGCCCTAGTTTGTCACCCGTTATGATAAAGGCAATTCTTGATCCAACTTTTCAACCTATGGTTGACAAGTATCCGGAACTTAACTGCCCGTCGAACGACCTAGCGTGCATAACCAGCAATGTTATGCACCACATCATTACCACAGGACAACCTGTGATATCTAAGGCACGACGATAAGCTCCTGACAAACTGAGAATTGCCAGGAATGAATTTGACCATATGCTTACCCTTGGCATCATTCGACCTTCGAATAGCCCATGGGCATCCCCATTTCATATGGTTCCAAAAAAGGATAGCAACGATTGGCGACCCACCGGTGATTACCTGAGATTGAATGCCAAAACAACCCCTGATTGCTACTCGTTGCCTCATATACACGACTTGACGGCAACCTTATCAGGCGCGACTATATTCTCCAAAATCGACTTGGTTAAAGCGTATAACCAAATCCCAATGGCAACAGAAGATATCCCGAAAACGGCCTTTCGAACTTTTCGAATTTCTACGTATGCCATTCGGCCTCCGGGATGCAGTCCAAACATTCCAACGCTTCATCAACGAAGTATTTCGCGGCCTCGACTTTGTATACGCATACGTAGACGACTGCCTCATTGCCAGTCCAGACAAGGGAACTCACCTTAGGCACTTGGACTTGGCATTAGAAAGATTACGCCAACATGGTGTTACCATCAATATTCAAAAGTGTCAAATCGATGTTGACTCACTCGACTTACTGTGTCACACTACTGACTGCAAGGGCATTCGCCCACTGGCTACTAAGGATGAGCCTCTCAAGAAAACCCGTTCTGGACGCACCGTAAGGTTCCCAGAATATCTTAATAATGATGTATTTCATGGAAATTTACAAATTTACATGAAAATGCATGCCATTTTTACAGGCATGATCAAGTATGATATAGTCTCAAATCGTAGATTGTCTACAAGTTAATAATGTTTCAACAGTTAAATATTTGATACATAGAATACACTCATTTTCTGAACTAGGCCGTATAGTTATTGAATTGTACAGTTGTCCTCCAGGTTGAGCGGGAAAGTCGACTTCGTTTCGTTTTCATCCCGTGGTTGTCGGCATACGATAACCAACCAATATTGAGGTAAGTACAACGTTTACAAGGGATTGAAATCAGTTTTAGAAAAATTAAAGTGCTAAGGTGAATCATTAAATTGTAATGAAATAGGTAAGTGCAAGTATCATTAATAAATGCATTAAAAAAAAGAAAACTCCTTAGGCTGACAACGTTCATTTGCAATGTATAATGCTACGCATGTATCTCGTACTATCATGATGTCCACTTTTGGTTTTAATAAATTTATCCTCATGCCAGTTGTTTTCATTTTATACCTCTTTGTGCATTTAGTGCACAACTGTACCCTTCAGAGAGTAGGAATAGAATAAGTCATAATGAGCTATAAAATGTTAGGTTTAATGGAATATAATGAGGATCAAGTAAAGACGTTGTCAATGGAGTTGAAGATTGAACGATCAATTCATGGTTGTTTACTCAAAATCAACTTCCCCAATTTCGCGGAGGCATCAATACGACAGTCATCGTCTCATCGGTCGCTGTTCAGAAAGAAGTCAGGAGACAACCATCAGAAACCTTAGTTCAATATTATTTTGATATGTTGGTGTAACAATAAAGAATTCCCAAGCGGCCAATCGGTGTTTTGGTTTTTCGTCCGTTATTACTAAGCGTTTCTGAAAAACTTCAAGCGACAGCGTGAGCCCGAGCGTAGCAAGAGCTGGGCATTAACGGTTTACGAGACGTGACTGACCGTTTCTGATGGTAGAAACAGATCTAGCGGATTCAAACTGTTGGTGAAAGCTTGGATAGTCGCCGTTCATTTTTCCTGGTGCCGGTCAAGTCCTCTTTGAACAAGCAATATCTGGAACGTTTTTGGAATTGGGTCAAGTTCAACAATGCCCGTGTCAAAGAAGGGACAGAGTGTCTTGGATGCAAACAGGAAGGTAAGTCATGGTGACTTGTCTGTTAATTGTAACGATGTGTCTGATGTTAAGCATGACATGGTTGATGTTACTGTTTCGCCGTTCAGGGATAATAGGAACATCAAACTCCCTAAATTAGAACCACGGTGTTTTGATGGAAACCCAGCTGATTATTTACAATTTGTAAAGGAGTTTGAGATCATGCTAAGTGGTTTTTTATTAAATGATGAAATGAAGTTAATGTATTTGATGAGGTATTGCACTGGAGATGCTGCAAGAGCTATACAGTGTTGTAAGTTTATGAAGTTTATGATCCAGTCAGATTCGTGTTAATAAAGAGCAATCTATCACAAAAGAACTATAGAGAAGTCCTTAGTTTTGTTGTTTATAACTGTCAGAGTTAACTCGTTTGATAGTGGTCTATTTTTAGTTCGTACTTCATACATTCATACCTGTTTATTGTTGTTTTTATCTACTTAGATAATATAACAGTATTTCACACACTTTTGTCAATTTTTGAGAAATTTTTATAATCTTTACCTCCATAATGGTCAAAGTTATTAAACGAGT